TTTATATCTTTCTTCATGAGATTTCTGAACTTCTGATTCTGAAGCTGGGATATTCATTAAACCCTCTACTTCATTCTCAGCATTTCTCAATTCCATAATTTTTTCATCTATTTCATTTCTTAATTGTTCCAATTTCTCAATCTCATCGTTATAATATTCATCTTGTTTAATTTTTTCTTCAAAATATTCAGGAGGTGTTTCAAGACTCTCTGAGCCCAGGTCCTCTGGACCATAAAGAGGAATATTCTCCTGTTTTTCAACTTTTTTGGGATATAAATATCTCATTATAGCCTTTTTAGTAATTGGTCCGTTATATTTAAATTCATTCAACAATCTGGAAAACTCTTTCACATTCTGCATATATGTTGGATAAGAACCGTCTCCAAAATTTTCTAAAATATTTTCTAATTCTGAATTAGTGAACTTTAAAGATTTCAATGAATTAGTTGTTATACTCATTTATCATTAAATAAAAAAAATAAATTTAACTTAGTTTTAATTTTACGTAAGAAGTCAATTTTTAAATCTTGATTTATTCAAAAACGTAAGAATAAAAACCGTAAGAATCATACATTTTTTACTTCATATGTTAAAAAAAATGATACAAAATCGTTCAATATTGTATGAATTCTTACGTTTACAAAAAAAGTCACATAACCCGCACTCATATACTACTCAAAAAGTCTAAAAAATTGAAAGATAGAAAATCTTCTCTTATTCTTCATGCAATGTGTGTTTTCACGTTTCAAAGGCGGAAAACGCTTTTTTGGAATGCATTGATTCAGAACCACACGGAAAAATGAGTTTTTATTAAGAAAATAGACAATTCATGCAATAACAAAGCATACGATAGTATAAAAATCAAAACTATTTTCCCATAGGAAAACAAAAAATAACGTTTATAGTATTCATCGAGCATACTCCCACTATAAACTATTTTCTAGTTTTCTGGCCGGCAAAGAGCCAGAGAATCACAACTACAACAAATTATGGTGAAGTTCTCTTGATTTTCCATATAATTTGAGAGAACATCCGAGAACTTCACCATAAACGAAATACAAACAGATTCCTTGTTTCTCTGTGGGCCAACAATCACATATACATTACCTTAGGGCAAAGTTCTTCCGAGGTTTCTCATCAAATGAGAAACTTGAGCAGAACTTTGCCCTATTCGAGTAAATTTACATTCTCTGACGTGAAGAGAGTCATAGAAATACACAAGTATTAACTTATGGTGAAGTTTTCTGGACTTCCTTCCTCATCTGAGAGACATCCAGATAACTTCATCATAAACGAATTACAGACAAGTTCTCTCGCTGTTTGCAGGACAAATACCACAAATTCATTACACTATTGAAGAGTTGTTCCGAGGTTTCTCATCGAATGAGAAACTTCGGAAAAAATTTGCTCTAGTGGAAGAAATTTACCTCCCCTAACACACAAATGATCAGATATAACAAGCACAGATTTTTAAGGTATAGCTTTGTTGAAAACCTTTCAAATAAAGAGAAATTTAAGGAGAAATTTGCCCGTTTGATGTATGGTGAGAAGCATATTTGAGAGTTTGGAGAGGCAAAGTGCAATCACCTATCAATATTGCACTTTGCCTGTCAAAAGTTCTTCGCATCTCTTGAGGTGTGAGGAAGTTTCTCGACAGAGGAAACTTTCATATCGAATGTTGCCTCTGTCGAGATGTATGTGACAGGCAAAGTGCAATCACCTATCAATATTGCACTTTGCCTGTCAAAAGTTCTTCGCATCTCTTGAGGTGTGAGGAAGTTTCTCGACAGAGGAAACTTTCATATCGAATGTTGCCTCTGTCGAGATGTATGTGACAGGCAAAGTGCAATCACCTATCAATATTGCACTTTGCCTGTCAAAAGTTCTTCGCATCTCTTGAGGTGTGAGGAAGTTTCTCGACAGAGGAAACTTTCATATCGAATGTTGCCTCTGTCGAGATGTATGTGACAGGCAAAGTGCAATCACCTATCAATATTGCACTTTGCCTGTCAAAAGTTCTTCGCATCTCTTGAGGTGTGAGGAAGTTTCTCGACAGAGGAAACTTTCATATCGAATGTTGCCTCTGTCGAGATGTATGTGACAGGCAAAGTGCAATCACCTATCAATATTGCACTTTGCCTGTCAAAAGTTCTTCGCATCTCTTGAGGTGTGAGGAAGTTTCTCGACAGAGGAAACTTTCATATCGAATGTTGCCTCTGTCGAGATGTATGTGACAGGCAAAGTGCAATCACCTATCAATATTGCACTTTGCCTGTCAAAAGTTCTTCGCATCTCTTGAGGTGTGAGGAAGTTTCTCGACAGAGGAAACTTTCATATCGAATGTTGCCTCTGTCGAGATGTATGTGACAGGCAAAGTGCAATCACCTATCAATATTGCACTTTGCCTGTCAAAAGTTCTTCGCATCTCTTGAGGTGTGAGGAAGTTTCTCGACAGAGGAAACTTTCATATCGAATGTTGCCTCTGTCGAGATGTATGTGACAGGCAAAGTGCAATCACCTATCAATATTGCACTTTGCCTGTCAAAAGTTCTTCGCATCTCTTGAGGTGTGAGGAAGTTTCTCGACAGAGGAAACTTTCATATCGAATGTTGCCTCTGTCGAGATGTATGTGACAGGCAAAGTGCAATCACCTATCAATATTGCACTTTGCCTGTCAAAAGTTCTTCGCATCTCTTGAGGTGTGAGGAAGTTTCTCGACAGAGGAAACTTTCATATCGAATGTTGCCTCTGTCGAGATGTATGTGACAGGCAAAGTGCAATCACCTATCAATATTGCACTTTGCCTGTCAAAAGTTCTTCGCATCTCTTGAGGTGTGAGGAAGTTTCTCGACAGAGGAAACTTTCATATCGAATGTTGCCTCTGTCGAGATGTATGTGACAGGCAAAGTGCAATCACCTATCAATATTGCACTTTGCCTGTCAAAAGTTCTTCGCATCTCTTGAGGTGTGAGGAAGTTTCTCGACAGAGGAAACTTTCATATCGAATGTTGCCTCTGTCGAGATGTATGTGACAGGCAAAGTGCAATCACCTATCAATATTGCACTTTGCCTGTCAAAAGTTCTTCGCATCTCTTGAGGTGTGAGGAAGTTTCTCGACAGAGGAAACTTTCATATCGAATGTTGCCTCTGTCGAGATGTATGTGACAGGCAAAGTGCAATCACCTATCAATATTGCACTTTGCCTGTCAAAAGTTCTTCGCATCTCTTGAGGTGTGAGGAAGTTTCTCGACAGAGGAAACTTTCATATCGAATGTTGCCTCTGTCGAGATGTATGTGACAGGCAAAGTGCAATCACCTATCAATATTGCACTTTGCCTGTCAAAAGTTCTTCGCATCTCTTGAGGTGTGAGGAAGTTTCTCGACAGAGGAAACTTTCATATCGAATGTTGCCTCTGTCGAGATGTATGTGACAGGCAAAGTGCAATCACCTATCAATATTGCACTTTGCCTGTCAAAAGTTCTTCGCATCTCTTGAGGTGTGAGGAAGTTTCATATTACAATTAAAATTACGATTTATATTTTTATTAACCATTAAACAAAATTCATTTAATTCTTCATTAAAATTTCAAATTGTATTTAATTTTTTAAATTTTCATTTTGCAAAATCCCTGTTTGATTCTTATTCTATATCTCACCTTGCATTTAATCCAAATGCTAATTACATTTCAATTAAACATTATCTTCATATACCTTTTTCACTTCTTCAAATTTAATTAATTTCTCTAACTTCTTTTTTTCAATAAATGTCGGCATTGGAGGATAATCAATAAAGTTTATTTCTTCCTGTCCCATTTATAATAACATATTTTGCATTTTTAACAATTTTGATTGTAATTTTCATTTCTTCATCTTCAAAATCATAGTTTTTAATGCAATACATATAATTATACCATTTTATGATAAGAGAAAAAACCTTTTCTCCTTCATCTCGATTTAATTTTTCGCATAATTCTTCCAGATTTTCAATTGTAATATAATACGAACCATCCGATCCCTCCCAAATTATGCTCAATACTTTTTTTGTGAAATCTAATGCCATTTCACTCTTAAAATTAAATTTGAAAAAATTCTTATAGTATTGAAATGTGGTGATTTCATCAATAGAATTCCGTAATTCCAAACAACATTCAAAATACGTAATTTTCTTCCTATTTGAAATTTCAATTATTTCATCGATATTTAAATTGGAAGAGGCAATTTGAACACTAATTCGTTGCGTATATTACACTAGTCAAAAATACTTGATTTGATCATAGCTTCAATGCGGATATTATTCTCATTTGAATATTTCATTTCTCCACTTTGGCGAGTTATATAATTTATCTTGAATATAAGATTTAATTGCCTTTTGTACATGATTTTTTTTTACTTGGCGTAATTTATGAAGAATTTACAGAGTAATTGAATTTGGAACTGAGTAATTTCGTTTGAATTAAGCATATTAAGTAATTTCTCTTGAATGTTTTCAAGATCTTTATAAACTGTTCTAATTTGTCCTTGATAATCTGGTAAAAAATAAATTAATAGTTCAACCAGATTAAAAAAGTCAATTACATTCTTCTTATATAATTGAATAGATAATTCCAAAGTATTAAGTTGCTCAAACATATTACTAGAAGCAAATGTTTGAATTTCTTGAGCATTCATTGGACAATGATTAATTTTTTCTGCGATTCTTATAGGTATTTTCACTTTACAATTCTTACTTCTGTTTGACTCTCCATAAATTTGACTGATTTCGAAACTCATTCCTCTGCGAAAAATGTCACGTTTTAATTTTTTTCAAATGGAAATAAATCAGAAACTCTTTTTGTCTTTGACATCTCTAGGTTACACTGAAACTCAAGTAAGAAATGCTTTAGAGATCTCTAATAACAATATTACAGAAGCACGACAGCATCTCTTTACAAATGTTTTCTTAAATAATCAAGACAAAAACACTCTTCAGTATCTCAATGAAATTGAAAAAGATATAATAAATGATGAGGAACCAAATAATGAAATGCTGCTTCGCCATCCAGAAGTTAATCCTTACCAATTCCTATGTCGGACCATTCATTTTACGCAACTTCGCCGCTCAATTTATTCCAGATGAAATTGCAACTCAAATTGATGCCCATAAATACCCCGAATTATTCTGGTCATTGGTTTCTGTTTCATTAGAAGAGCTAGAAACCAATGAATCCTACTTCCAAGCTTCATCCAGCCTACTTAAAGGTTTAGATGAAGCTACAATCGATACTGAACTTATACCTCTTCGCCAGATTCCATTTAAGACACTTGTTGTCTTCGGAAGCGATGATACAACAATTGATACAAAGAAATCAGAACAATGGTGGACACAACAACTTCTTAATGCAAAGGTTGAATACATTAAGGAGTCAGGACATCTCTGTTTCCTTGAGAACGAAGATGATACATTCAACAAAGTTATTAATTTTTTGAATAATTAAATTCAGTATATGTTTTGTTTAATAAATTATTTATCATTGCTTAAATGGTATTTACTCTCTACTAAATGTTATATGTTCAAAACTACTAATGAATTGTTCAAAATTTAGTTAAATTTAAGCTAATAATCAAAAGTGTTAGATGCTCATTACAGACTTTTTGATGATATCAGATATCTATATTATCCTCTCAATTTATCGAGGTAAATTTAAGAATTCAAGATAGATATTTTTATTTACTCTATATGACATTGTTTAGTAAATACAAGAATATTCTGAATCAAAATTAAATGTTTTTCTCCAATAAATCTCTAATTTGCAATTTAATTTTGAAATATAAGTATTCAACTCCAGAAATACGCGAAAGTCGTATATGATTTTAATTTCTTATGCTCATTGTCAACTTATTTGAATTTAGTTTATTGAACTATATCCAAGAAGAGCTACTAATCCGACGTGACTTTTCCCACTCCTGTCATCAAATGTATATCTGCTTTTCTTATTTGATTGCTGTTATCATTAGTAAAACAATAATTTACAACAGGAATTTCAATACCTGGAGGTGTATCAGGACAACCCCATATTAAATTATTCATATAATTACTCCCTTGAGTGTAAAATCCACAACAATAATATGTATCTGATAAATAATTTGAACTGCCAATATAAAATGCCATTTCATGATAATTAGAATTTTCTTGTAAATAACAGTGAACAAAATGAGAATCACAATTCTGTATTGTAAACATATATTTATCGTTATTATTGTATGAACATTCATTGTTTGATAGTGTAAATTGATAAAAATTAGCTGAGTATTGAATATTATTTGGAAATTGATCAATAGTATTTTGAATAAAAAGTGTGTTGTTTATCCATACATTATGACTGCCTAGAATATTTAATAGACCTGAGGATATGCATTTATTATTGAGAGAGGGTCAAAGTTGCTATTTGTCACTTTTCCACAAGAATATAATGGGGAAAAAGTTATCATATAGTTGATCTCATTCACTGAGGTGAGAGATGCATGTAGTGTAATGTTATAA